TTCCATGTAATTTACCTATTATTTACAGGACATTCTCCAAATCCAATTTACAATAGATTCCATGTGGTTGACAAGGTTTTGTCGAAGTACTTGTTTTTATTAGCCCCTATTATAAAAGTCAAACCCTACCTTGCGGACAGTCACCTAATACCGAAACCTCGTTATTAATTACGGACCGATTGCTTTGTCCTGAGAGAAAGAAAGCCCTTAAATTTCTGTAAATTCAACCCGCTTAAAACGGACACTTTCTATGGCCTCGACAGTGACCGTATTGACGGGGTTTCACTGTATTATTATTACTTTACTACACTGAGTTTACATAAAATTTACACACAATGTTGTGTTCAGCCGTTTACATGAAGTATACCCACGTTTTATTTACATGTTATTCAGATGGTTAGTAAAATCAATTTACATGCAATTTACACGCAGAAATACTGTAAATTTTCAATGTTTCCATTAACCTACCGTACGTGATGATTGAATAAGTTTCCCCTTCAAATAAGCGTCGCCTTCGAATGAGCGCCTTTCCTCTTCTTAACACTCTTGCTTTTGACCTTACTAGATATATGCGTTATAATTATAGTAAATTTGTGTAATAAATGTAACATTAAAAGCAATTTAACCTATTTGATGACATCACGGGGTCGTGTGGACGTTGTAGAGGCTCGATCACAATAGTTTTCATTCTACGGTTACAGTTTGTGTTTATTTGAAAAAAAGACAAATATCATCTTGAGGTCAAATTCCTAAAGAATAAAATAAGCGCCCCATTCGAAGGTTGTCGACTCAACAAATGAAATAATTGCCCGGGCGCTAATTCGAGCATGCCCTTCTCGGAAGGATGTAACGCAGTTCTAACTTTTTGATTTCGTGATCTCATTTTTATCAGCCGTTATATTATCTTTCAGTGTTGTTCTGGCCCTGAGGAGGGCTAATTTTGTTAGCTGAAATATTGGCGTCAAATAAATCAGCACAGCCTTGCATTTAGGTTTATTATGGTTTCACGTTATTTAATATTATGAGGTTCTGCGTCCCTAACATTTTATAGGACGTCCTAGAGGTTAGTTTTCAGTCGAGTCTGCATGTTGATGAAAACCAGTGAGGAGTGACCAGTCTACCATTCGAATAAAGTGTTAAATTAATCGGCTCGCTGTAGTCGTCAATGTATTAGTTCGTCTGCACAAACTAGTCGAATGATTCCTACACAGAAACCCACCTACAGATAATAATACTTTGAATTCAGCAGCTCAGTCAATTTCAAGAGTTAAGGAAACCAAATGCGCCGAGTCCAGTGGATAAGGATTTATCCGGTGGATAGCGCTATACACTCTTTTGAACAACTGGGGCCTGGCTTATAAAAGTCTCAACAAAAAATCATTTAATCGCGCAAAAATAAGATTTGTATGTATAAGGAAATAACAATAATGACTTAAGAAAGCAAATTATTACTACATACAGTGTACTAGCATATGTGAGCTATATGAGTAAAGTCTAAAGCATGCTAGAGCATAATTTAAATACTCTGCGTGTGAGTGCTGTATCTCTGTAGCACTGTAGTCCTATAGTTTGTTCTTGTTTTTGGCAGTTCAAAATTCAATCCATAATCGTGCAGATTTCTGTTAAGCTAATTAAACTTTCATTTAGGACTCTCGGTCCTTCCCTTCGTTTCTTGTCTCATAAACCTTGTCTCGATGACCACTTCAACACCTAACATTAGAAATTTCCAGTGTTTAAAAAGCAATTTCTTTAACCGATAAGCCAGTAGGTCGAAGTATACATGCTGATGCTCTCACGTAGATGAGCGTGTTTGCGTTAAGAGGGTTTATCTTTCATGATGTTCACAAAAAAAAATTGCATAGAAGAGATTCGATTCAACTTGGGCAAGTGACGGAAATTAGATAAGGGTTTTAATAATCAGAGTGAATTTAGGCTGGTTTAAAAATTATAATAAGAAGGGAAAAACCAGAGAAATTAGGGAAAACAGAAATTTAGGATTGACATTAAAGAAATAAAATACAATTATCATCTTGTAGCAATGACTTTTGATTGATGAAATAATGCTAAATTACCGTATTTATTCGATTAACCGCCCTGGAAGCTTATTGAATTTTTGGTGGGCACTTATTCGAGGTGGGCGCTTCTGAAATTTTTCTGCCGTTAAGATGGGCGCTTATTCGAGGTGGGTTGAATTAATATAAATACCTATAAATAAGGTATGCACGTCAGTAAGCAACAAGGAAAATCAACCTGTCTACGAATATCAAATTGTACGTGATGCATATTAATACTGCATGCAGTCCCTTAGGAAAAGCACGCGGAAATTTTTTAATAGGACCAACCTCGTTTAAGGACTTTTTTTGAAGAGCTACATCAACGGGAAGTAAATTACGTTTAAAATATAGCCTGCGTGGCAGGCATGAAAGGGGAAGAGAAAAGGGAATTTCGGGCACACAAAAAGCGCGAAGGGTAGGCAAAGGAGATGGTAAGGGAACGCTGTTCCCCTGCCCCGTTCCCCTGCGTTTAAGCGCGCTTTAATTTCCCGTTTACTTTTCCCTTTCGGGGAAAGTCTGCCACGCAGGCTACATTTTTAAGAGTTCAATAATCTTATTATTCAAATCTGGGTTTCAGCATGAGGGTAATTGATAATGTGAAATAGAAGTTAACTTGAATACGGGGTCAAGACCCTGTTCAATCGTTACTGGAAGTGGCTGAGCTTTAAACCATGTAACGAAAGTAAAATCCACAAAAATATGAAAATAAATCGAAAAATAAAGCACTCAAGATAATTGCAGTTTTAAAAAAGAATCAGTCATTCAGAATTACTTTGGACTGCGAGGAGCTTTAAACAGCATAGTAGTAATCACATAAATAGCTACACGTACTCTCAGGTCGATTTTCATTTTTTGGATGTAATGTATTAAGACTTCCTGAATGACCCATTGACCTAGTTGTAGATCAACAGGCAAGGGATTGCTGAAGCATTTTTAAAGTCAGCTGCAATTACTTTCCTTGTTTATTGATTACTTCCTCGTGAAAACTGCATAAAAGAGCGTGTTTGACACAAAGAAAGCATGACTTTCCTGAGGAACTAATTTAGAGAGGTTGTTTTGTAGCATCTGAGTCTCGAAGAATAAGTTATCTTGTGACAAAATGGTGAGTTGCTTGCGTTTATCTTTTAAAAAAGATATCTACTGCAGACAAGCGATTTATTTGCTAGTTCAATTTCAGTTTTGATTATAAAAGATAGCACGATAATATGTTAACTGGTGCAGGAACTTGAATTCTACTTTGGTACGTTGATTTAATCCATCATTGAATTATTTTCTTTCCATTTTATTAAGGTATTTTCTTCCGTTCTGGCAGCTTTGTTTTTTGTAGCCTGCATCGAGGAGATAAGTGCCTCGGTGGTGCTTAAGGTAAGTCAGACTGAAGCTTTTTATGACTACCTGTGATAGTGACCTTGTGGATACCGTAGTTCCGCTGCTTTCTTTTCCAGTCGATTCCCCCTCTGAAGTCGTAGAGGCAGTTAAGATCACGCTACAATTGCCACTGCTGTGGCTCTTTGCAATATTTTTGACATGTTTTCTACCAATCCTTACAACTAACTGTTATGAGTACAGGCCACCAATCAAATCTAAAACAATGTTGAAGGCGGTGTCTTGAAGTGGAATATTTTAGTTGTACATCTTTGTTTTTGCTAGTGCTCTGATATGTAAACCCAGCAAAGTTGTTAAAAATCGTAGACAAACACCTTTAGTCGAGTGGTAATGTGTGCGCGATCTTAGCTTCTGCCGTTAAAATTCATCATCAAACGCTTTTTTTAATCGTTAAAACGGCCTCAAAAACAATCGTTTGTTTACTCGCGGTTTTTTGCTAGGTAACGGTGGATCGTTGGATTTAGAGAGATATAGCCAACTCTGTTAGACAAAATTATGAATCTCGCTTGGCGAGGAATTAACTTTAGTGGAAAATAAGGAAAATGTAACCACTAATATCAGGACAATTCGGATTAATAGTAATCCGTGGATTATAATAATAATAGATTATAATATGGTTATTATAATCCGGTAATAGATTATTATAATCCAATAATAGATTATTATAATCCAGCAATAGATTATTATAATCCAGTAATAGATTAAGGCACGGCAAAAATTGGAAGGATTAGATTATTATTAATAATAATCATCCGGATTAATATTAATCTCTATTATAATCCAGATCAGAGCTATGACAGACAAACTGCAGACATTACACGCTGAACAAGGGACTGACGGCACATAACACTGATCACATCAGTCACACGATCACTTGCATATGTTAGAGCTGGTAGCGATTTTGAGCCTAGAAGTAAATGAAAAGGAACAAGCGCCTCTGGGCCAGCGAATCCGTGCGGTGGGCATGTGTTTTTACAAAAAATTCAGTTGCAACTGTATTACCAGCAGAACTGAGACAACTGCCGACTTCTGCTACTAAAATATAATAACGTATAAAAAGGAGTGCGGTTATTGACTGAATGTAATTAAGAGTTTTGTTCACAAACTACTAGCACAAGTAGCAAATTCGTCGTGGTTAGAATAGAATATTTTCTTTATTGAGAGACTTGTACAAATTTGAGCTATGTGGGATTATATTTATCAGATTAATATTAATCCTAATCGTTCAAGGTACGGCTCAAAGCTCAGTTATGGATTATAATAATCTATTACTGGATCTAATATTAGGATTAATATTAATCTGATTAATATTAATCCTACATAAGATTAATAGTAATCCTAATTGATCAACGCACGGCTCAAACCTCAGTAATGGATTATAATAATCTATTACTGGATTATAATAATCATTAGGATTAATATTAATCCGATTAATATTAATCCGAGTTGTCCTGTAATATATAAATATATCTTTTTAAATCGTGTGCGCATTCCTTATTTTCACAACAGACTCCAGTTGCAAGAGCACAGATACTTGATGTACAGCGAAAGAATACCATTGAGAAGTATAATTTACGAATTTCAGAAAGAGGTGTGAATTTTGATGCGAAAGTAGAGATCGACGAGAACAGTGACATTGAATATTTCCAGGTTCCTCCTCACCATGAACTGTCGGAAACGAATGCCATGTATGACTTCAGAATGGTAAGTAAAATCAGCGGGGATGATTCGGTATCATATAATAACTCAGTACAACGCATCTGACCACCTTTAATCATAAGAGGACAAGCGGGTCTCGCTATCCGTCACTTTATAAATAGCGTCGGTTGTAGACCTTCAGAACCCAAGTCACTGGTAATCTGTTCTAACATTCGTAGACCTTTGATTTGTTGTTTCAATAATTTGATCAAATGTTACTTTATGATAGGTCTGCTCTGTTACATAAAGTTTTGACTAACCTGTGTTTTTTTTACGTTTCAACCATCGTTTCAGGCATGTCAGTCATACGTAACTCGTCATGCAAAGAAATACAGGGTGTTTCAAAAGTCCGTTCCGATTTTTTCTTCACTTAAATTTCACTGATTATTTTAAGATAACTTTTGTAAACCTAAGCATGTTATTCATTATTCATTTAACATTGACTAACTGAAATATTAGCAACCAGAATGTCTTCCTTTATGATTTCTGGCATTTTCTAAGCGGTGAGGTATCACCGCGGTGAGGTGTCTAAATTCACAATTTTCCAGGTGAAGCGTGGTCGCTGTCTTTGTTAGTCCAGTGTTTTGGGGGCTGGATCTTTGAATGTTGTCGCATCAACGATAATCCAGATGATTACTAGAGGGTTCACATCACGTGAGTTTGCCGGCTGGTCGTCCTTTGGTATAAAGTTTGCAAATTCTTCTGATGCCATGCCTGCATGAAGTGTGAACCGCCTTTTTTCTCTTCAAGGCTTTCCAACCTTTATTGGTCACGTATCCCCATACCGTTGTGCTCGAAACTTTGGTATTGTGAAGTTGAAGTTTTCTTTTTACCTTGCAGTCTTGTTGAATTATTACGCATATACTTACAGCTTTTTCGATAACATTTTTCACACAGTTTGTTAAAAAACCCAGCCATCTACTCCTTGGTTTGTCTTCTAAGGTCTTTACTTTTGACTACTTGTTCTCTCATCGTTCAGACTTCTTCAACAATTTGACAATTTCTTTGACTAAATGGACAGAGTACCGTAAAAATAGATGCCTGAGCTCTAGCACAAACATTGTACGCCTTCATTTTCGTGAAAGAGTAGAGAAAACAAAAGAAAACGCGAAAAAAAAAAAAAAAACGAAAATAGAAAACGTACAAAATGGGTAGGAAAAATATGGCGCGAAAAAATTCGCGCACGTGCACATTTGGGGAAAAAATTTAAAAAATATCATAATTTCCTCAAATTTTAGTTTGAAATTGCTTTGAACCGTTATTTAGATAAATGTCCTACCTGAATCAGTTTACATTTGGCTAAGGAAGCATTAAATGCTTTGCGCAAAATACAATTTACAATCGCAACGAACTTTTGAAACACCCTGTAGTTGTAATTGCAGTTCTCAACGCATGCGCCTATTTTTTGAGAGAATTCACTGAGCTTAGTTATCTTATCTTGGTTTACCGGTTACTGTAGTGTTTCTTATCTCTACAGAACATCACAGTCAGACGTGTAAAGAAGGATGGCGTTTGTCACATTTCACCACTGCCACCCAATCTTCCGAGGCCAAATGATTTAGCAACGGGACTCAAAATGGTAAATTTATTCGCTGCATTGTCATATGCAGTGCTGTTAAGTTCAGATAGTCTGAAAATCTTTTCAACAACTTATGTGGAAACTTGCAATTTTATGGGACGGTCGCAGAAAATTTTTAATTGAATAGATCTTTCACTTTTTACGTAAAAAATGGATTGGAATAAATGGATTAAAAACGGCCCTGAAGTTCAACTCAGCTATTATATGTAAGCACTAAGAAGCGAACTTTATTTGTTTCCCGTACGTGCAGCTGTCACACTCGGCGCCTGTTCAGAAGATTGAAAAAATCAAACAGCAATGGACCCTTGGTGACGTTGTTGACAGACAGACTTTAAGAACTGAGGTGCAAGAATTTTGTGGGAATTTCCCAATCTACCGTTTAGAACCATATACACCTGACTCCGTTACTGTGGTTGCTGGCACCCGCGCTGGTAAGTGTAGATCTCTTGCGCCATTGCGCTATTTAAATGTAAACCCCTCAGTTAAGGACTTTGAGCATCTCAATATTCAGTTTCCAGTCTCATCCACGCAGGTTTTTCGTATTGAACTAAACTTATTCCTCGTTACAATACCTTTCATAATCGAGGTCGAAATTAACAATTGCTAGTAATCAGTGATTCGTACCAAGGGAAACATCTCATTTTGGTTTCCGACGTCAGTCCTAGGTTTAAGTGAAATAGGTGGCAACTATAAAACTTATTTTAGAAAGTCAAATGATACATGGCCATTTTTCTAAATATCGCAAATCATGAATTGGTGAGGGGTTAAAGAAAAAATCAACATATAACGTTCATGTAGCCCTGCATATCCATATTTAACCCGACCCAGTCTTAAAGCTTGCAATTCTCGCCTTACACGTTTTCTCTTCGTTCTTTCCGCAGAGAGAAAACGTCGTGACTGGAAGTTTGTCCCGTGTGACAAAAATACGCTCCCTAAGCCAACAGATTGTAATCCCGACAACTGGGACTATGATTGCTTAATAAGCGATAGTAACTGTTTGTATTACATTTCATGTTATTTAGATAGAGGTGGCAAAAAACTGAAATGTTCGACAATCCAACATCTTTACACTGCTATGGTCTGTTGCCAGCCAAGGTGTCCGTAAAGTATTAAAACGTTGATTTTTTCTTCAAGTTTAAGAGCTGCTGTTCAGAGATTATTATATAAGTGCGAACTGAGCCAGGTAATCATTTGAAATATCGATTATAGTGACTAATTTGGTACTGAACAAGTGTAAACAAATTAATATCTCGGAATTTCTTAATGTTGTTAAATAGAGTGTTTCAGACACCTTTTTCACACTCTTTTTGTTAATTGAAGAGAAATGCACCTAGTACAGCTGGTAGAACATGTTGCTTGTATAAACTGTTTTTACTACAATAAATAAATTGGTGTTCAGTCATTTTGTGCTTGTGTAACTTTTTTCTCGTCTTTAAATGTTGGGGTGTAAGTGGTCTTTTATAGCGGAGCTGTCGCACGCGTGAAGCGGGGCACCATGGGCAAGAAATCTTGGTCTTGAGAAAGTCGCCTGCATGTCCGCGGTACGCATATGCGTCCATCCCTTCATGGACTTCATGCCAGCCAAATGTCAAATTTTGCACTTCTAGTACCCGCGCGTTTCAACGTTAAATCGCATGGCCACCCGGACTTTTAGAAAGGAAAAAAAAAAAAAAAAACCAAAAGAAAGTCAAGTAATTCTTTAAATCTAATATATATTTCTTCTTTTTTTATATATAAAAATAATACATTCAATTCTCACACACCATTTTGTGCATAACACAAACGATATCCATAAAGTTCCCGGATTTATTAAGGTCAGAGTGGTTGCCAGAGAAAAGAGTGGTTGCCAGAGAAAACCGGGCAAGATGTTAAAAATGTCAACGGGAGGAAGTCAACAGAATAAGTTCATACTAACATCATAGATAGGTTAGGTGGAGTAATGGACAAATATAATAAACATAGCTTCTTCACTGCTCTTGTATTAGAGATACGAGCATCACTATATTCGACCCCCTCAAGCGCCATTTTTACAAGCAAATTTTCACCATTTTCTGAAACTCACAGAACCCTCGAAATTTAACGAGAGAAGTTTATTTTTTGTATGCGATACCCTTATAGAACTACTGTCTAAAACCATAAGGTTTGTTAAGTAGCTACGTACAAGACTAAAATTTTCTTGTTTTATGTGACCTAAACTTAGTGTCTGCAAACGAGCGAAAAATCGGGCATTTTTGAATTGATCTACAGCGCACAACTAAAACGACAGAACAACTCCGACAGCCAAATTGCAGTCTACTATCATCCATGTAACCAAAACACTAATGATCATTTTGGGCCATTGAAACAAAAAAAAAAAGAAAACTCACATTTGTTATGGTTTCCAAGCATTTTCTTGCAAACAGGCCGATCCCTTCGTGTTTGTTTTAAGTCCTCTTCGTGAATTTTCTTTCATTTCGCTGTTAAGTATGTTCAGCAGCTGGAGGACATATCAAAAAGCTCGAAATACTGCCTAGGTTACATTTTGAAAGGGCAAAAAGTGCTGAACGATAGCATGAAACTAAGAAAATAACAAAGCGACGCCATGTTGAAAATTCAGCACTCAGGAGGGACTGGCGCTTGTATCTGTCTTGTCCACAAGATGATGAATTACCAAATAGGTAAAAAAACAAAAACAAACAAACAAACCGGCTTATCAGCGACCTACTACAGTCCTATTTCCCCTTTAATTACTACTTTTAGCGTTAAATTTGCTTCTTCTTTTTTTGTTTTTTTTGGCGGAGTGATGGGGTATAGGGAACACGTGACCAATCGGCATTACTTTCTTCAGTCTTCTAGTCGGGGTTTTAATAGTTATGAAAGTGATGCAAACTGAAGAAAACTAGGCAGGCTGTAAGGTACCTTGGATCCACATATTTAGCATTCTTTAGATTTTGGCATCAAATCGAATCAAACTTTTCTCAGGCCATGATGTTTCTTCTGTCTTCAAGATATTGATCCGGCTCTGCCTTCTTCATGAGCTCATTTGACAGAAATAGCTTTTATACGCTAATTAGAGCAATCAGGACTGTTGGCACATCCTAGAATAGAATAAAGCTCTTTCTGATCTTTCTGGGAGTGTATGTCTTTTTTGACTTTACATGGTACGGATAAAGGATGAATACGCCACTTACGCACATCTCCCACAATGTACCTTATTTGCCCCCCACCGCCAAATTTTGCATACCCTTTGTTTTTCATTTCTCCTGGGTATTACAGCCGTCCCAAGAGAAATTGAAATTATGCAAAACTTTGGGGACAAATAAGGTGGATTGGGAGATGCGTAAGTGGCGTATATTGACCAATATTGACCTACAGTACCATGATTAGAAAATGGGAGAGCCCTGGGGGCGAGGATGGCGTGTTCGTGGGGCAACCCTCTCTTTTGTCTGAAATTGTGTTAACATTTTTTTAAATAATAATAATAAAAAATCTCAGTAAAACCTGTCTTCTAGAGATTCTCTCAGAGTTATTTTACAGGTATGGCAGAGGTCAAGGGTTCGAATCCCGTACAAGCCTGAATTATTTTTTTCAGGCTTTCTTTTCGCAGCTGCGTAAGTTGTGTATATAACTACGATGTTCTTCCTTCAAATAATTCTTCACTCCGCAGTTCACATATATGAATTTCATATATTCAGAATTTGATGATTCAGTTTAATCTTAAAAATAGTATCTTGACAGAGAGAGGCGCCAGAACTGGACTACTGTAGAGCTGACAAGTCTAAGATCCCGTCCCTCTCATTCTGGGAATTTTCTCGTATCCGTCCGTGATTCTTGTCACAAGTCTTTTCACAGGTAACCCAGGCTCTGTGATAGTACCACAGTACGGTTCCAGTAAAATTACAGTGTTTGTATGGGTAAAAATACCATCCTTAAATATCTAGGAAATGCTAAATAAGGATCAAGGATCTGCAGTTAGTTGTTGTTGTCCTTATTGCTCCAACGAAGTGTCGTGATACTTTTCAATAATTTGTTCAAATTCACTCTATAACAATAATAATATACAAAGTAGGAGACACGAGATGCCATTTTCGCCGACATGCTCTCATTCAACACAACTTTTTCCACGAAATTCGAACTCCAACGGAAAATAAACATGCCAGGATATCGTAGAAATAGGATAGCAGCAGATATAGAAACCAATGAAGCTTTCCCAGATACAGAAACGAATCCCACAGACTTTGAAAAACTAGAAGGATAAAATCCAAACAGACCGAAAATATGGTCGCCGAAGTAGCCGGGCCAGATCAACGCGCGGCCAAGAAAATGAGGCCTGGGCACTGTACAAAAAAATTCCATCCCAGGAGTCCCGGGGTGACCTTTCTGGGGACCGATACCTCATTTGCCCAAAGCCACCCTCCCCTGCTGGAAAAATACTTAATAGAAGGCAATTGTTCTTCCTGGCCAATCACAATTCGCCAGAGCAAACCCCTGACACACGCCTAAATTTAAATGGCTACAAATTAAAAATAAATAAAACCAGGATAGTCTGCCGAGTTACAAGGCGTCCCCATCATGTTCGTGTTTCCTATTTCGCTTTTTCTTTTCATCTTCGGTCATGTGATTCACAGCCGTCGACGACACGTGTTGCACACTACTTTGCACACTAGGCAGTATCCCTAGCGCACCACTTGGCGCGCGTATTAGACTGAACTCGGCTCTCATAGTGGGTTGTCTTAGAGTTTTTTTGGCTGCCTTGAGCATAGTTTTCCGGAAGGCATCATTAAGCCTTATGAAGGAACAATTCTCACGTCTGGCAAAGTCTGCTGCGTCCAATATCTTCTTGTATTTCGTCTCATTTCGGGCTACACGGGTGAAAGACTTATCCCGGGCTTGAGACGGAAAGATTGGATATTGCGAGCTTTGTTGTTGGCAGTAACACGTCTTTGGCCTTACAAAGTAGGTTTTAGGGTTGAAATCTATTCGACAAGATGGAAATTCATGCTGATTTCTGACCAGGCCAAAGACTTAGTAAAAAATTGTGTGGAAGGCGGGGGCTGTATGTCTCCTTTTCAACCGTCGGTTTACATCCGGGATCTTGAACAAATCGACTGTCAGTGAGTCGCGAAAAGTTCCATGTGACGATTTATGTGGAGAAAGCGAGAGGTTTACGCAGTAATTTGACGATGTTTCGCCCGTGTTAAGTGTGGAAGTATTACGAGTGGTTTTGGGAAGTGTTGTGATTGCCGCGAAAGTCATTTATTGTGTTATTTACCGAACGTGTTGACAGACAAGTCTCAGGTATGTGCAGTTGAGCTCGTGTTACTAGAATTATTTGTGTCAAGCATAAAAACGCTTCGTGAGTCTTTAGTTTAGGTGATTTTGTCTTAGAAGCCTATTCTGTGCTCAAAGATTCCGTTACGGGGAATGTGAAGTATGCTGAACCTGGACACCTCCTCTTGGCAAGAGAGCCCGTGAAAATTATATAATCGCCAGTCTAGATGGAGCTGTTAGACTTCAGGAAAAGAGAAAACCCAGTCAATTGGACTTCTGCATTAACAATCGCGCGTTCTTGATACGAACAAGGTAGCACATACAGCCGCACGCGCAAGATTGGAACCACCGCACCACCAATAACATCAGAGACAAATAGTTTCAGCTATATAATTCTCCAGTGGCAAGCAATTTGGCAGAAATACACAAGCAGCACAAGCAAGTCTCAAAATGTGGGGATAGGAAGACCTTAAGATTCACAGTTTATCGCGTTAAACACAAGAAACACCAAACAATTGTGCACGAAAAAGAAGAACCACTCGTTAAGCAATTAACTGCAAGCCACACCGACGTCATATACGTAAATGGAATAGAATTACGCCCAAGATTAAGGCCACCGACGCCAATAAAATCAGAAACGAACAATTCTCTACTGAGTGACAAGCAAGTTTGCAGAAAGACACATGCAGCACAAGTAAATTTCAAAATGTAGGGTTGGAAAGACAATAAGAGTCACAGTTTTCCGCG